GATTTCTGGCCGGGAGGAGCAGCCAGCAGCGTGGGTTTGTGTCTGGAGAGGTCAGGGCACTGGGGCACCTGTGCTGCTCCTCTCCTTGGGCTCCCCCTTCTCACCTCCTCGTGTTTGTCTCCGTGGGAGGAGGTGGCTGCTGACTCTCCTGGCCTGGGAGTGCTGAGACCTCAGCAGGACTGCAGCTCGGGGCTTCACCTGCCCCAGGTTTCAGTGGCACATCAGGGGCTGGCACCTGCCAGTGGTGCCCAGAGTCTGGTGGCAATTAACAGCAGCCAAAACTCGCTGCTTTGTCTCCATTTGTGTTGATCAAATTTGCAATAAACTCCTCTAACACACTGTATGAACAGCTCTGGGAACTGCTGGCTCAGAGCTGCTTCTGTAGATCCCAAACATGACCCAGCTGTGTTTTCAAAATGAAATTTTGGTCCCATCCCGACGCCAGTGCCGAGGGTGGCGGAGCAGAAATGATGACAGATGTGTCCTGTTGTGCCTGTTTGCTTTAGGGAGGAGAGAGAAATCCCACCAAGGGTGATGGAAAGCTCTGCTCACATCAGGCCCATGTGAGCAGCCCGCGGAGTTTCCAGCATTTAAGCAAAGCACAGAGGTTCCTGACAGGTTCATGTATTGAGTGGGTCAGAAATAATCACTATTTAAATGCCCCCGAATGCTGATTTCTGAAGGAAAGGCTGTGGCTGGCGGCAGGACTGTGACATCAGATGTATAATGTGGAATTTCATGTGTCCCCAGCTAATTGTTCACATGATGGACAATAATGGCCCCGAATAAACTGCTGCACAGGGTCTTCAGTCTGCTCTGAAACAACTCCAGAGGAAGCCTTTCTTTGCTTTGTTTTCCTCATTTATTTGGTTTTTTGTTCCATTATGAAATGTACATTTAGTGCGAGTGCTGCTGGATGATTCCCATGGAGCATCTTGGTTTTCTGGGCAGTCCCACCTTTACCTGGCCGGGGCATCTGGGGCTGCCTGAGCAGCAGCACCCAGCAGCTGCTCCCCAGTGCTAATTCCAGGGAATTTCAGGGATTGCACCCTGGTGTAGCAGGGCCTGTATTTGCCTGGCTGGGGAAGGGTTGTACAGGCTTCAGCCTCCCTTTGCAAGACCAGATTTTGGCCTTTTCCTCCCAGAAATGCAGCTGGAAGGGGTGGGGCAGGCCGGGAGCTCGTGGTGCCCCTGAGCTGGGTGAGTCCCAGCTCCCCAGGGCAGGGTTTGTCAGAGGGGAGAAAACTCCCTGCCCTGGGAGCAGCTGCTGCCTGGCAGTGTGCAGTGCCACCAGCCATTCTTAATTTCCTGCGTACAGCTCCGGTTCTTTTGGGGCCCAACTGACTGAGCATAACCTTAGCAGGATGATTTGATATTATTAGTATTATTAATATCACTGCAGCAATCTAATTAGGGCCTAAATGAGCTGGGTGCTGAATTTCCCTCGGAATTTTGTGTTTCTTTCATCCTCCTTCCCTGCCCTGTGTTGCTCTGCCTTGCACGCGAGATGTGCTGAGGAAATCACTGATGCTGAGGCTTCAGGAGGGGAAAACCAGCACCAGATAATGTGACTGGAAGAGGCTGGTCCTTGAATCAGCTGGGGAATTAGGAGGATAAATAAATGCCAGCGTTTCTGGGCTGGCAGGCACTCGGGGGGAATGCTCTCCAAATTACTCACACGAGCTGGGGTCCCTCTCGTCTCTGCCCTTCCAGACTGGGACCACAAAAAGTTGCCTTGGATTAACTCTGCTTTCAGAAGATAGTTTTGCCCTAATCGATCAATTTAAAGAGACAAGAGCTGTGTGTTATAAATGCACATTTGGAAGCATATGCTCTTTTTTTAATTAAAAAAATTTTATGCAGGGGCTGCAGGATGAATATTGAAGACGCATGGTCCACCCCCTTCCATTAGCAAGAATACAACACAAAGCTGTAGGCAGATATAAAGGCATTAGAATAATTAATTTTCCATTTTATTGTGTGTCAACAGAAATGTATAATAATAAGCATTTTTGCAAAAACTGTGGATTAAGCATTTTTGTCTGCTCAGTGGCGTGCTGGAAATGTCCTTGCTTTAATGTAGAACAAATGGCCCTTGGAGCTCATTAAAGATGGTGCTCTGAGTGCTCAGAGAACTCTCTGGGGCAGGGCAGGTGCGGCTGCTGGAAAAGGTGACAAATGCTAAAGGAAAGACAAAGGAAGAGCAGAAATGAAAGGGGAATAAAGGAGGTTTGAGAATTGCTTTGTGTGGGGTCACACAGCCAGGGGAGAGCAAAAGCAGCTGCAGGGCTGGGCTGGGCTGCAGAGCTCCGGTGAGTTCAGGATGCTCGGGGGCAGGAGGGAGGACAGCAGAGACCTCTGTGACAGCTGTGGATGGAGGAGGGGCACTGCCAGCAGGGACAGGCCTGCCTCAGAGGGGTTTGGGGTCCCTGGGAGCTCTGTGCTACCCAGGCTGTGGATTTCACATGGGTATCATGGGTATGGTATATCCAGATGTGCAGGGCTGTGCGGGCTGCTCTGCTCCGTGCAGGGGGGGTTTGGCACAGGTCAGACCTGGTGGGGTTTGGCACAGGTCAGACCTGGTGGGGTTTGGCACAGGTCAGACTGGTGGGGTTTGAACTGGTGGGGTTTGGCACAGGTCAGAATTGGTGGGGTTTGGCACAGGTCAGACCTGGTGGGGTTTGGCACAGGTCAGAATTGGTGGGGTTTGAACTGGTGGGGTTTGGCACAGGTCAGACTGGTGGGGTTTGGCACTGGTCAGAACCAGTGGGGTTTGAACTGGTGGGGTTTGGCACAGGTTATACTGGTGGGGTTTGGCACAGGTCAGACTGGTGGGGTTTGAACTGGTGGGGTTTGGCACAGGTCAGACTGGTGGGGTTTTGCTCAGGTCAGAATTGGTGGGGTTTGAACTGGTGGGGTTTGGCACAGGTCAGACTGGTGGGGTTTGGCACAGGTCAGACTGGTGGGGTTTGGTTCCCTCCAGCCCTTGCAGGCTCAGGGCTGGGCAAGGCTTCCCCAGCAGTGTCTGCAGGCAGGGAAATGAAAAGCAGCTCCAGTGTGGGGCGAGCACCGAGTCTGGGCCAGCTCTGCATCCTCTCTGCCACTCTGGCTTATCATCACTCTTATCTCTTGAAGGGATTTCAGCTGATATTTTGCAGAAGACTCTGCTGAGGATGTGTTATTGACATATTCTTAGCTTAAAACCATTATCATGGTAAATCCCTGGATTTAAAAAGTAATTACAAGACATTAATAGCCGAGCCTGAAGAGCTAAGTCATGCAAATATTGCTGTCTGCAAAGTGGAATATACACAAATGTTTGAAGTGCTGAGTTAGGAGCTGCAGTCTGGAGGTGGCAATAAATCTGTGCCCAGTCCTCGCCGCTGGCTCTGCGTGTCCGTGTAATTAATGGCACCATCATTATGGAAGTGCTAGCAGGGAACGTGGCTATTTTCTTCCCTGAGTAGGTTAATTACCATTAATGTAATTATTTTGGTACTGATTTTTATTTTAATCAAACATTGCGCGAAACAATTAAGTTCAGAACAAATGGCTTATTATGGAAATGTTTGTGGCAGAGGGAAGCAAAGCAGCAATGTTTGAATTATACACAGATACTGGGTTACTTTATTCATTAAAATGAACAATTACATTAGGCCTTATGAGACAGACTAAGCATTTCTTGTTAATGTTGGTTCTGTAGAGAACATCATGAGAATATATATTGTGAGCAGATCCAGTTCCTCTTGCTGGAGGCATTCCAGGGCTGGGGGATGTGTGGGAGCAGGGAGAACATAATTCCCAAATCCCAAATCTACCAGGAGGGGGCTGCTGTGTCCTGGCCCTGCCTTGCCCAGGTGGAGCTCAGGCTGTGGCACTGCTGGTTCACTTCGGGTTTTATGTTTGGAAAAGACACGCACACCCAGAGCAGCTGCTGGAGCCACTGAGGGGCTGCTGGGCTGGGAAGTGGTGCTGGGAATGCCTTTCACTGGGGCTCCAGTCTGGGCTGCTTCACTGGGGCTCCAGTGCTGAACCTTCCTGTTCTTGGTGAGTGGCTCTAGTCGGACATGGTTTGAAATGATTTGTGAGTCCACAGAGCTTGGCAGCCTTTGTCTCATACCTGGGAGTTCAGGATTCTCCAGACTGCAGAGTAAGTGAGACTTTCCTTGTGTTTCATATAATCATTTATCATTTGCATTCCCAGAAGCACGTGTGGCATTTCAAAATCTGAATGTGCCTTTGAAATGGAATGTCTAATTACTCTGGTTTTCAGTGATGACCATTTTCTTTGTCCTTCGTGTTTCTCACGTGGCTTGTAAGGCAGACCTTGCCCCCTTCTCACTGATCCCTGTAGAAAACACATTCCCACCTCATTTCAAATCCTCCCTGGTCAGTAGCAGTTCCAGGAAGGGAGATCTCTGTTCTGTCCTGGTAAGAAGCCCCAAGGTTTGTGGAGAGCAGCCTTGCAAATGGAAATCCTGCCTGCCCTCAAGGTTTGCAATGTTCTCACTAATTCCCATAAAAAACAGCCTCTCACTCTGTGGTTTATCAGGGCCTCTATGCCATTCCATCAGACTTAAGGACAACCAGAAATGAGAAACTGAGGCAGTGAGCACAGGAGGGACCAGACCCCCACACAGCAGCCCCAGGCTGTGGTGCCAGGACTGTGCCCCGTGGGAAGTTTGTCCTCTCGGGGTTTGTGTGCTGGGGCTCCCCCAGGTCCCTCCTTCCTTCCCAGCTCATGTCTGTGCCTGCCAGCCCTAACCCTGAGCTCGTTTGTGTGCCTGTCCCCCAGACCGAGGAGATGCAGTGGGGCAGGGCTGTGCATTCCATGCCTGCCTCGGTGTGCAGCCAGCCCTAAACCAGCCTGAAATCAGCCCTAAACCAGCCCAAAATCAGCCCTAAATCAGCCCTAAACCAGCCCTAAACCAGCTCTAAACCAGCCCAAAGCCAGCCCTAAGCCAGCCCTAACCCCGAACCCGTTTGTGTCCTGTCCCCAGATCGAGGAGATGCAGTGGGGCGGAGGGGTGCGCGCCGTGCCCCCCTCGGTGTGCAGCCAGCCGTGCCGGCCGGGCGAGAGGAAGAAGATGGTGAAGGGGATGCCGTGCTGCTGGCACTGCGAGCTGTGTGACGGGTACCAGTACCAGGCCGACGAGGTCACCTGCCTGCTGTGCTCCTACAACGAGCGGCCCAACGAGAACCGCACCGGCTGCCGCTCCATCCCCATCATCAAGCTGGAGTGGCACTCGCCCTGGGCCGTCATCCCCGTCTTCCTGGCCATGCTGGGCATCGTAGCCACCATCTTCGTGGTGGCCACGTTCATCCGCTACAACGACACGCCAATCGTGCGGGCCTCGGGCCGCGAGCTCAGCTACGTGCTGCTGACCGGCATCTTCCTGTGCTACATCATCACCTTCCTGATGATCGCCAAGCCCGACGTGGCCGTCTGCTCATTCCGCAGGATCTTCCTGGGGCTGGGCATGTGCATCAGCTACGCGGCCCTGCTGACCAAGACCAACCGCATCTACCGCATCTTCGAGCAGGGCAAGAAGTCGGTGACGGCGCCGCGGCTGATCAGCCCCACCTCGCAGCTGGCCATCACCTCCAGCCTCATATCCGTCCAGCTGCTCGGGGTCTTCATTTGGTTTGCGGTTGACCCCCCCAACATCATCATAGATTATGATGAGCAGAAAACTATGAACCCCGACCAGGCCAGAGGAGTTCTCAAGTGTGACATTACGGATCTACAGATCATTTGTTCCTTGGGTTATAGCATTCTGCTCATGGTGACGTGCACTGTCTATGCCATCAAGACTCGGGGGGTCCCAGAGAATTTTAATGAAGCCAAACCCATTGGATTCACTATGTACACTACCTGTATAGTATGGCTTGCCTTCATTCCAATATTTTTTGGCACTGCCCAGTCAGCCGAAAAGGTAGGTGAGAGTGCACAGGTGGCCAGGATTCAGCGTGGCTGGAACCGCGTGCTGGTGCTCAGCTTTCCGTGGATTTCCAGCTGAGCTCTTCGGTCAGCTCGCTCCCAACTCTCGGGCAATCTGTGGCACTGTTTTCCTTTCCCTTCAGCTTGTGGGCCATTCATTTAAAAAACTGGCAAATGATCGATAGCGATCACGTTAGCCATTAGTTTTATTGTTGCATCCATTTCAATTGTTCCTTTACAGTAGGATAGGTGGGAATTAGCTGTCATATTATCCACAAAGAGGTGTCTCCTAACTAAATCACTTTGAATGCAAGATGTAAGAGAGAAAACCGTAAAAAACTACTCGGGTGGGCACCTGTGCCTCTGGGACCAGAGCTCAGTGCCAAGCCCCAGGAGCTGTCCCTGTGTCCCTGTCCCTGTGTCCCTGTCCCTGTGTCCCTGTCCCTGTGTCCCTGCAGGGCTGTGGGACCAGAGCTTGGTGCCAAGCCCCAGGAGCTGTGCCTGTGTCCCTGTCCCTGTGTCCCTGTCCCTGTGTCCCTGTCCCCATGTCCCTGCAGGGCTGTGGGACCAGAGCTCAGTGCCAAGCCCCAATGCTGGCCCTGCTCCTGGGGCTTTCCCCCTCCTGCCCTGCCCAGAGCTGTGCTGCAGGAGCTCTGCTGCTTTTCTTCCTTTCCTGGCACTCCTTTTGGGTGGGGGTGCAGGGATTGTGCTTTCTGGTGCTTGCCACTGATTTCCTGTCAGATATTTCCTCTGGAAAATATTGTGTTTAGCTTAGCCAGGCACGCCTGTGCTGAAATGGAAATTGCACCTGCTGAAAAATCTCATGCAGCATGATCTTTTAAACTGAGCAATGGGGTTATATATAACACTGTGGGTTTCAGTGGATGGATTTATTTTATTTTATCAATAAATACAAGCATAATGTTCTTAGGTAGAAGGCATATTGTAAACACCTGCCTTGTTCAGGGTAGAGAATAACACCTCCAACAACAAAAACAACCAAACCCCTAGCAATGTGCTGCAGGTCACTCATAAAAGGTAAATAATTCAAGCAGGAGCTGTTGCAGCAGGTGGAGGAAGGCCAGAAATCCGAGTTTCCCCAGGATGGAGATGAGCCACGAGGCACAGGGGAGGTGGCACATGGTAAAAGCAGATTTCAGACCTTTTTACAGCTTGAGTTCACTCAGCCTGTTTCTTTGTCCACATCAGAAGTGGAGGGAACACGTGGCTGGCTGTGATTCCTGGCTCAGCTGTGATTCCTGGGCTCTGTCTGGTGATGCAGGACGTGGGACCCTCGGATGCGGGATGTCATTGTTGTATCTCCATGTTTCATAGAGGTTCTGCTGCCTCAGAGCTCTGATTGCTTTTATTTAGTAATTGTGCTAGGATTAAAAAAAAAATGCATTGCTGGATGTGTTTACAAGGCAGTGAGAACTGTCAGTGTGCTCCTGAAACACATCCTGCCAGTGGGATTCTTCTCTTGAGTGATCTTCGGGGCTTTTTCCAAGTTAAAAAAGTTCTAATTGTGCCTCTGAGTGAAGGGTGACTGTTGTTCAGGCAGTGTGCTTGTCCTGCCTGGGAGCTTTATTCTTCCTGCAGTGATGAGAAACAGGGAAAAGCTGGAATAGGGAAAAGAGCTGTCACCTTCCATCAGCTTATTTTTGGATGAACTTTCAGTTGTAAACTGTTGGGGTTTTGGGTGGGGGGTTGTAGGTTTTGTAATGAAATTTGAAGTCTCTAATCCCATCAGCTCTTCCACCTTCCTTCTTGTTTCTCTGGTTTTTTTTTCAATGCCCCTTTTATTCAAATCAATAAGCAGGGCAAGTCAGGCATATTTGGCAGCAACACTTTTACTTATTGTGTTGAGTGTTCCATAAATACTATAATTTGAAGGCACATGCAAAATGGGTCCTTGTTCAGATTAAATAATGTCACATTAGCACAGGAGCACTTCACTCTCTGTTCTATTTTTTGGTGGAACTAAGTTACCCTTCAATTCTCTGTAACACAAATACCAATTAGCCAGGTAGGGCACACTTTTATTTTCTCCCCTGGGAAGGCTTGGGCTGACAGTTGCTATAGCAACTCTGCATATGTGGATTTGGGAGTTATGAGGGATTTAATGCAACATTTGTTGGAGTTTCACACTGTTGGATTGTGCAGAAAACCAGGCTTTGAGGCTCCCAGGGAATGTGCCCGGGTCTGCCATGATCTGGGGCTCTCTCTCAGTGGGGATTGCAGCTTTTGTTTAATTCTTTTTATAATTTCTGTTTAAAGGAGGATTCTGCTACCAGCAATTTCTCATTGATGCACTTTCACTTCACCCACCACTTCATTATTATTATTATTGCATGTTCAGATGCCGAATTTCTTAATTTTATCCAGCCTCAATTGTATCCCTGAGAACACCCTGGAATTTAGGGGTCAATTAGAGCTGTCCTGAGTCAAGCCTGAGCTGAGGAGCAGCTTCACCTCATTCACTTCAGACCTCCAGGCTGGAGGCACGAGGTCTGGAGAGCCTCAAAGCACAGGCTATTCAAGAAAATCCACTTGTGTGGGGTACTGGAGTTCCACGTTTTAATTGAGGAGAAATTAGGTGTTCATTGAAATCTGGAAGTGAAATTACCAGTGGAATTTTTGGAAGGCTGGTGACCTTCACTACAAATGTGATAAAGTGATCCTGGCCTAGGTTTTTATCAGGTTGTAGCACAACACTGCTGAAAAGTGTGTCAAAACCCTTGTGAAAACCTTTGAGTTTCTGTAGAGTTTCCATTTCAATTTCTGCAGAACTAAACAAAAATTTTAAGCACAGCTCCTGGGTGAAGTTCTCAGTAAGATTTCCTTTATTGCCTTCTGCACTCACTTGGCCTCCCCAGGGGAAGGGAGGCTGTGACAGTCAGGCCCCAGCCACAGGGAGAGGTTTTGAAGGTGTCCCTGCTGCGGGTGTTTAACCCCGACCAGGAGTTATACAGAAATTCCTGGCTGGGCTGGGCTGGGTTGTGAACTCTGGGGTTCCCAGAGGAGAGAGCATCCCAGGAAATACAGAAATTCCTGGCTGGGCTGGGTTGTTGTGGCCTCTGAGGCTCCTGGAGGAGAGAACATCCCAGGAAATACAGAAATTCCTGCTGGGCTGGTTCCCAGTGTTCACTCAGGAGTCACCAGCAGCTCTGCCACAGCTCCCTCAGCCACCAAGGCTGGAAGAGAGAAAGAAAAACAGCAAGGAAAGGCTGGTGCCTAAACCTGGGCACCTGGGATTTGGCACTGGAGAGAAGGGGGATCTGGCACTGGAGAGAAGGGGGATTTGGCACTGGAGAGAAGGGGGATCTGGCACTGGAGAGAAGTGGGGATTTGGCAGCAGAGAGAAGGGGGGATTTGGCAGCAGAGGTGGACACGGCAGGGATGGTGGGGAAGGAGCCTCTGCCCTTCAGATGGTGTGCTGACAAAACAAGGACATTTTGGTGATAAATAGATTACCCACAGTGCTGTATGCCCAGGTCAGGCCTTCCCTGGAAAGGAGATTCATGCCTTTGGATCCTGCCTGGGGCTCTCCCACCCAAGCTCAGCCAGGAGCGGAGGCTGCAGGCTGCAGAAAATGCAGGTCTGTGTCTGTCTGCAGTCAAGGCAGGTATTCCAAGGCAGGGATGAGCACACGTGCACACTCGGAGTGAAATAAGGCCTGACTGGAGTAATTAGATCCTCCTCAGAAGACCATAAATTAACGGTGATTAGGATTCTTGAAAGAGCAGAAGCAGGAGGTACACGGAGCGCCGCTCGGCTTTATCACATTTGCTGCATTGTAATGCTCCTTTCATGTTAATATCTGCTTTTGTAGTAAAATCTAATTGCAACAGCGAGCAGGCAGAGCCCGGGGCCACAGCCGTGTTCCACGAAATTGCCTGGGGAGGGGGGCTGCCCCCGGCAGCAGTGCCACCAGCAGAGCTGGCAGGGCTGGCACAGCATTGACAGAGCTGGCAGGGCTGGCACAGCCAAGCAGAGCTGGCACAGCTGGCAGGTGATGAACCAGAACCCCTTGGTTCTGCAGGATCTGTGCCCTGGCACTGCAGGAGCACACCGGGGCACTGCAGGGGCACACCGCGGTGCTGCTCTGTCACAGGGCCCTTTGGAGCCCCTGGGGGCTGCTTTGATGGCTGATGTTGGCACTGAGGGATCCCTTCGCTGTGATAATTCCAGCCTTTTCCATTCCCAGGAGACAGAAAAACAGAAATTATTTGGAAGATGGGAACAGAAATGGAACGCAGAAAGGAGAGGGCATTACAGAGGTGGAAATCACAGAATATCCTCAGCTGGGAGGGACCCAAAGAGACCACCCAGCCCAGCTCCCAAATCCCACCCCAGCCACCCCTGGCAGCTCCTGGAGCTCTGGCAGCCTCTGTGCCATCCCTGGGGAGCCTGGGCAGTGCCAGCACCTCTGGGGATGAACCTTTCCCAAAATCCTCCCTCCGTGGCACTGGTGCAGCACTGGCAGCCCCCCTGTGTTCACCAGGAGCCCCAGGTGTGGGCAGTCTCTGCTGGACTGGGGCATCAGGTTTGGGAATATTTTGGTGCCCGGCTGTGGCACAGGCCCCTGCCCGTGGCTCAAGCAGCACCAGCCCAGGGCAGGCCCCAGATGCCCCGTCCTGTGCCCTGTCCCACCTGAGGTCAGAAAAGGAGCGGTGGGGAGGGAAGGAAGGTCTCTTTTCCCCCTGGAATCTCTGGTGCTACTTAACTGCCTCTGGCTATAAAGCAACACAATTTTTAAAGGAAAAAACATGTGGGTGTTTAATGCACAGTGTTGACACATACTTTTTTTGTTCCTATTTTTTTTTTTTTTTGAAAATGTAGCATTGCCAGGAGGGTTTTACATCTGAAAAGCCAACTCTGCACGGGCCCCTGGCAGCCCTATCAACAGTTTTTATCTGCAGCACAGACTGACAGCCCCTCACCGGGAAATAATTGCGGCTCCGTGGAGTCCAGGGCAGTAATTACTGTGTTGAT